TGGGGACACTAGCAATTAAAGTTCAACAAGGTATATAAAAGCCTATTGGATCTTGGATATAGATAGGAAAGGTCGTTTAGAAATATGAGTTACACAACGATTTCGGTGTTTGCGTACACGTGAAGAGAATCACGTGATCACGATAGAGGCGTTCCTCAGCCGGTTCAGTGGGCCGGTCGTGACGTCACGCGACAGGGGCGACAGCGGGCGCGCGGGAGCGTCGAGGTCGAGGGTGTGGTGCACATGCGCCGGTCGCGTCGCCGCTCAAGGTGACCCTCAATTCGGTTCGCATATCAAATGTTCTACGTCGATCGCAGTCTCAGTAGTCTCTGTGTACGGTTCCTTTCACTTTGCACGGTTAACCGGTATTCGCCAGAACGCGGACGTTGATACCAACACAGTGTTCGGTAGTATTTATAATAGCAATCTGTGGACGACAACATTACTCGTTCATCACTTTTTATCTCACTCGTCACGACTGACAAGACGAATCGATATGCGTCAAGTACAAAACTATGTAAGTATTACAATCCCAATATTTGAGTATGTATAATAAAAAATTTCCTTGGTTTTGTCTAACATAGTTTCCAGAGTAGATACACGACTACTGATATATGTATATTGCGGTTCGCATATTGGCGAACGTAGAGTCGTATTTTACGTAGTAGTCGGTACAACAACACGCCGGCGCCGCGCCGTTCGAGACTTTAGTTAGGTTAAGTGCAAGTGTGCGGAATTTAGATATCAGTATTAATTATATACAATAATGAGAGTACACACTCATATGAATAAATTGATTGCTTCAATATAATATTGGTAGTATAACTCAATGTTACGGTAAAAATGATCACTCACTATCATTTTATATTATTATTATTATTTACAATCGTATTACTCTAAGATTACATGAAATTTACAAATAATACTATATTATATCTATTCACTTTTTTAATTAAAAAACTAATATTACTGCACCGTTTGGATAAAAATAAAAATTACAATAGTGATATTATCAAATATGTTATTATTATTATAGTTGTTGCTTAATGAAGCAATAAAAACATTATAATGAAAACACAAATTATAAGGAAATCCGAAATCGTATTTTCAAAATGTAATTAAGATCACAATTCCCAGTGTTTGTCCTACGAGCAAGTGGATAACGTTTCATTTTTGTGGCCGAGTTGTGTTCTTGAATTTATAATAATTTATAAATAGGTATATGTATTTTAATGGAGAATCATGAATTAAAAGAAAAATTTTGTCCAACAAATAAAACAAAATATCTGGGCCACCTTTATACTTGTAACTCGTGACTATAAGAAATAGATAACAACCTATTCTCAGACCTACCGAGTACACATAAAATTTCATCAAAATCGGAGAAGCAATTTTTTTTATTTTTTATATAAAGATGAAGATATATACAAGGAAAGTAAAAAGAGGATGTTCGATTTATAGGGTCAAAGACACTGTGCGGCGTCCCGCTGCCGTCACAGCCCCGTTCGCTATTTGGCGAAGTGTTTAGAATCGCGCCTATCACAAGTGACGTCAGGTAATCACAAACAAAAAATTTACTTGCTTCGCCAGTACATGACATAAAATTGAGATATTTTACGTAAAAAAATAGTATAGGCACCACAATATAAGATTATCAATAGCATAAGTAAAAGTCTATAATTTATTGATATCTTTGACTTTTAAACCCTAATAGGTCTAACATTCAAAGATATCAATTGTCTTGCTCAAATGTCTTGCCTTATTATATGATGTCGTTTTGAATAGAATGAAATATGAATCTAGAACTCATGTTAAATTTTGCTAAATTTGTTATTTTTAACACCTAATGCTATACACACAAACTGGATGGCACGAGTATTATTTACATTTAACCAGATTTTTAGGATTCCGTGCCGAATTACAATGGAACCTTCAGCTTTTTTGTATCATTGTCGTTTTCATGCAGCTACAAAATGGGTATTAACACTTAAACTTAAATAACAGAAAATAAAGGGACTTTATATAATACAAATTATATCTATATATATATATATCTTCAAAACCATAAGATTTTTAAATGACAAGACATCCGAATATGATGTCGTATATTAATATTACAACTTGTGTATGTTAAATAGGGTAAAATTTAGTTACTAATTCATTAATTTATATATGAAATATTATAAAGATATAAATATTAGAAAAATGCGATTCCGGATTCTATTCATATTTTGTCACACATTCAACTCGACAGGACTTTGTTATACTTTATAAGACATCATTAGCGTATGGTTAGCAATATTAGCATGTTAAGATATGCCCAGCCAGTTAGAATACTAATAGGTATTATGTACCCGGTGTTATTAGCTAGTAGTAGATACATGATAATATTGTTAATGTAAAAGCCATGAACTGAAACTTGCATGGTCTTGCTATGAAATGTGACAATTATATATAGGTATTAGTAAGAAGTAGCTAACAACACAATATATAAAAATAATCAGTCTTTATTATAGTTTATTGCGTTTTTATTTACAAGTGTCATAATGAACACGTGTTATCAAAAACAGCTATTTAAATAAAAAGTTCTGATAATAAAGGACGGATACAATTTTTCTTAAATAAAGTACTAATGTATAGATATATGTATGTAATACTTTTAGTACCTATCTATTTAAACAATATGCAGGAGGAGAGCTATCGATTTTATAGTTGTCATAGGTATTATAATCATAATTGCCGAGATTAAGAGTTAACCTACAATATTAATCTTATCGGGCATATCGGCTGGTAATAATCACTATAAAATTGCTATCATAAAAATATTAAGCGGTTCTATCTGAATAGATACTTTACTTGAAGAGTCAAAGTATTAGACGTACATCACTGTATGACTAAGTTTTACAATCATTTATCACAATAAGTACTTTACGATACAGGCATATAGTTACAACAAAAGTACTATACCTACGTAAGTAGAACATCTATTCTACATACTAATGACATATTTTCAGTTATATGTATATAGTCATGAAGTTTCAATGTTTGTCAGTACTACTATATTAGAGATATACATAGAAACAATTATTTCATTTAGTTAGGTAAAAACACTACGCAACCTTAGTTTTAGATTTGCTCATTTTGTTAAGTATACAGACAAGATAGAAAAAACAGAAAGAAGGGCAAAAAGAATGTCATATTATAATATTAATTAATATTACATAAGTAAATTTAACCTTGAATACATAAGTTTTGTCACCTTGTCACAACCACTACGCAGTGGATCATCAAAACTTGATTTAATTAACAATTTATGGCTATCTTTATCTACTTAGAATTACTAGTGGACTATATGAAAAAATTTAACTCGTATCTATTCCTAATTGACTTTGTCATTTACAATAAGTCAAGTCAGTAACATAATTATCCACACAATCCAAACTATTAACATTTATTATCAACACAAATATTTAAGATATTGAACATTAGGTTTTTTGGATCGTCACTGCCTTGTCTTTGTTCGATTATTTAGTCTTCCTCCTTCGTTCATCTTCCCCCCTGATCGTCACACCTGGACTCACTCTCCTTTTTCCATATTAAAAAGGTAGATAATAAATTTGTCTACGAGCCTTAAGCCTTGAGAAGTCGTTCATATACAATATATATCTATTTAAGGACGTAGGCCGTATCTTTCAATAATACTTCAATTTGGGCCTGTACACAACAAAACCTGTAGATTTTGTTGTGTACAGGCAAGCAACTGCAGAACAAACTGCAGTCAAGTTTGCCAAGTTGAGGTTGTCTGAAGTGGTTGTAGCCCACTCTCACTAAAGTAATATATCCTTTGGAAAGTTTACACTCTACACTCATCGCACCTAAGAATATTCTTCAATTCTTGTCCCTTAACGGTCTAGGTAGCTAACTCGCTGAAAAAGGGCGAGCATAACAGATCTATGTATGTAGGTAGCAGTGCTACAGGTCCAAGCACCTGACAATATAATAGCCCATACCCCCAATAAAAAAACTTCACAAGTGTCGGTACAGATGAAATCAAATAATCTAGTTCCCTTACATTGCCACATTATTTGAAGGTTCGTCAGATGCTGTCGCTAAAATAAACAACAATCTGAGCCAAGAATATACTCACATGCGTTCAAAAGTTCGAACTGACGTGCAAACATTGCCGGGAATTAAAAATAGATTATGCCTATAAAATTACATGAAAACTATTGCCATTCTGAATGTTAAAATAAAATAAAATCCACGTTTCGAATTCAAACCAGTACAACATAGTAGAAATATTGAGTTCAATACAGAATTGTATTGGAACGAAAAGCAAAGACATATTTAACTTTTACAGTATTTTATAACAACAAAAACTTATGCGTTCATTAATTAATTAAATAAAAATAATTCATTTCTAATTTAAGAGATGGAAACGTCATTCTCGTTTAGCCGGTTTACGTCTAAATTACTATTATAATAAAATCTAATATTACGGTTTCAAAATTTAATTTTTAAGGAAAATAACATATTCAATCTCAATGTTCAATATGTATGTAATATAATATAATCCATGCACACACCCACTTTATGCATGTTAAAGTCACAACTACTACCAACGCTATACAATACTATGTAAATGTAGAATTCAAGGAATGTCACTGACGTCACGTGCGAGCCCACGCGTCAGCCAATGAAATTAAAACACAAACAGAGTCTGTTAAAAATTAATATAAATTATTCTGAAAGTAATTCTAATATTTTTTCCCCTTAAAAGAAAATAACTGTATGAGTATTTGAATTTAGAAAAACTATTTTCTCAATATATATAAACAAATTTATAAAAATGTGTATCGAGTTTTTATTCATTTAGGTTGTATCCTACAATTTTCATCAGCACTACTCTAGCTTATGCTGTTTTAAACCTTACGAGCGAGACGACAATAGTTTATTATCATGAATGAAAAAGAGTGGGCTCGTATAGAACGGATTCGTTCGATGATTACAGTCGCCGTATTCCTTATTCGCTAGTGACTATAGTAAGACGTGTAGTAATATTGTTAGTGGGTAAAGTCGTATAAATTGGTTATTTTATACTTATTGATAATACAGTTGTGGCAAATATTAACCATAATGGGTATGGCTATTAACAATTTACCACGGGTAAGTGAAGTGAATTTTTGAGGACTATTCTAGATATGTTTTATATTAAAGCCGGCTTTAAATTGGAAAGCAACGGTAATGTTGTAATGACCGCTTTGACCTTGTAAAACTCGTTCGCGATAATGAATAACTAACATTACTACTTGTTATATATGCAAGAAAATTGCAATCACTATCTAATAACTACTCTAAAGTTTCTGTATTATGTAGTATAGTATTACGTAGTATTTATTACTTTTTTAAAACGTACACAATGACTAGACGCTTTAAAAATATTATTTCTTGTCGAAGCAAAGATTTTTATTTGTATTTAAACATTTAGTTGCACAAATAATAAATAAATTATACAAAATTGAATGAAACGATAAAATATTTAACCCAATTAAAAATACTAGATATAGATACCCACTATTCAATGGGTCATCCCTTGAATATTCTGTACTAAATGTATTTTTTTATTTTGCAGATTCGTGAAGAATGTAGAGTCTTTCATATGTCAGATACACAAATCTTCGAAGTAATGAGCAAACTCAACAACGATCTGGTCAGGGGACTTGGGAGAAATACGCATTCGACGGCGTCAGTGAAATGTTGGCTTACATATATACAAGATTTACCGAATGGAAGAGGTTAACATTTTAAAGTTTATCTAAAAATAGTACTTAATATTATTTTTATTTTTATACAATAATTATATTAGATTTTTCCAATTACCTTAACGTAATGTCACCCTACGTTTGGAAAAGTGCGTACAAAATATGTGACATTAACAGTTTTTGTTTTTTTCAGAACGCGGTAAATTTCTGGCATTAGATTTAGGCGGAACTAATTTCAGAGTATTAATAATAAATCTAGGAGAAAATCATTTCGATATGCAGTCAAAAATTTATGCCATACCGCAACATATCATGACCGGAACTGGTATTGCTCTATTTGATCACATAGCTGAATGCTTAGCAAATTTTATGAAGGTAATTATTAGACTAGCTGATTAAACTAAAATTATAATTAGAGAAATAAAAATCAGTATGTAAATTTTAGGCAATTGTACACTATTGTATGTTTACTTTTATAGGAGCATGAAGTTTATGAAGAAAGGTTAGCACTCGGTTTTACGTTTAGTTTTCCACTTAAACAAACGGGACTTACGAAAGGAGTTCTGCAGCGTTGGACCAAAGGGTTTTCGTGTTCAGGAGTTGTTAATGAAGATGTAGTGCAAGCATTAAAAGATGCTATATCAAGACGCGGGGTATGTATATTTTATTTATAATATCTAAATCTATTAAAAATATAAAAATAATAATGTAATTATGATTATGATGATATTTTTGGACATTTATTTAATTAATTGGGTTTGTTATATGAGCTTTATTCCTAACACAGACATTACAACATATTTTTTTATAAATATGAGGGTACTTTAACGACGACACAGACGCAATATTCAGCGCTTATTAGAATCTAGTTTGTGGAGTAAGTAGATATTTTGAGTATATTAATAATCATAAAACGTCTGTGATATTAAATAATTTAACCGTTCAAAATTATAGTAATTGAAAGTATAATGTACCTTTATTAACATAATATTTTATTGTAAAGGTAAACAAATATCTAGAAGACGTAAACGTGTATTAACGACTCCTACAAACGCGGCGGCGCGGCGCGGCGGCGTCTTACAGCTGCCTTTATTCTTATGGAAATAAAATTGCTCATATTACTGGTGGATAATGTAATATTCTGTAACTAAATAAATAAAATTTTTAAAAGCGGTTAAGTATTTTATCAGACTTTAACCGTTTACAAATAAACAATCAAATTATTTATCTTCATTATAATTGTTCGAATAAATATAGTACGATGAAAACCAAACACATGGTCATCATAATAGATCGTTATATATCTTTGCATCCTGAATATAATTTGACTCTATAAATAGTTGATTTTATACTTGCAGGACGTCCAAATAGATGTATGTGGAATATTGAATGACACAACGGGCACACTCATGTCGTGCGCATGGAAAAACCACAACTGCAAAATTGGACTCATTGCTGGTAGGTGTCATTTACTTTAATTCTAATATTGGTATTGGAAAAAACTTTAGATAATTTTTTTCAAAAACAATAGCGAAAGCGTAAAGGTTTTGACGGCCTCGGTGGTGGTCTTACTTCCGATGATCGCTGGTTCGATTTCTCGCATGGTTTAAACATTTGTATTTATGAGTATGACTGTTTGTATCGGACTGTTTTCGATATATTAACCAAAATAATATTTGTATTAGTTATCTAGTACCCATAACCCAAGCTCTGCTTACCGTGGGACTAGATGGCGCTGTGTTAAGTGTCCAGGGTTATTTATTAATTATTTAAAGCATATATACGTTTTTATATCTTCGATGAGAGATATTACAACAAACTACAATTTCTCGTGAATTGTATACTGTATCAAAATCCTTTATCCTATCTTATTATATACATTTACCTCAGATATTATCCTCAACAAAAGCTGTTCAGTAAAGCGGAAAAGTGTGCTGCATTTTGCATTGCACATACAGTTGAGTCATTCCAAACTGTAGATTTGGGAATTCCCGTCAACATGTGTTACCATTTGTTCCATTGAGATCTGGCATTGATAAGTAAATGTCTTATAATTATAATATGTTTAATTTTTAGTAGTGTTTATACCTAAATGATAACACACTTATATATATTATTATTTTTAGACATACTTATATATGTCTATTATATTCTCTTAAATCCTACCATTATACTACAGAGCCGTTTAAACACGACGAGTTTCCTATTTAGTTCCTACCTAAGGGTTCTCAATAGCAAACACCAAACAATTTTCGTTATATCTGTTTATTATGTATTTTTTAAGTCAATTATAAACTTTCTACAATACCCACTTTTCACAGCATATTTGTTGAGCGCGTTACCGTGTGAATTTTTTGTTTTTAATATTTTATCACTATATTTTTTTTAAGTTTTCAAACTAATCACACTATGACCATTAATTGATTAGTAGATATGCAAGTACTAATTGATCTGTAGTCATTACGTATTTAAAACTGCCGAGTATAGTAACGGATTCATTTGTCTTATTCCTTTTGTAAAGATCTATATTTTTAATGTATTGATTAATTGTATTTTAACGATGACGTTTTATACAGGCACAAAATAAGCAAAGAAAAGAGCCCCCCTATAGTGCTTACGTAATACTTGAACGGCCCCTTATTCCTTTTGAAAATCTATATTTTTAATGTATTGATTAATTGTAGAATTGTGAGCTATTTGAAGAGAAGACTGACAAACCGGAAATGCTTATTAATACGGAATGGGGCGCATTCGGTGACGATGGCTCGCTAGACTTCATTCGGACAGAATTTGACCGTGATGTTGATACTAATTCCATTAACCGGGGCACACAAATGTAAGTTTTAACAATGGTATAATGTTCAACTTAGAAGGTTGACAATAATAGGTACAAAGTTAATTTAATGTCTCTAAGCAGAATCCCAATATTATTCACGAATCAAACTCCAAAGAGCACATACATTTTTATAACTCTACTAAGTAATTGCTATTATAAATGAGATTTATTTATTTGTAAAAATGTGCCTGCCTATGTTATTCAATCGAATACAGTCGGATAACTTTAAATTCAATTTGGTACAAAGGTGATATTCTAAATTAACACAGGTAATTTTATCTAAATTCACGCTAGCAAAGTGTGAAATATATGTGGTATCTTTTATAGACCTATACTAAAATTAATCGAAACATATTTGCCAAAAATAGATTTTTACAAATATCTATAATGCACGATAATTCTTCCATTGACTAACTATTGTTTTCAGTTTCGAGAAGATGATCGCTGGCATGTATTTGGGAGAAATAGTACGCTTGGTACTTGAGAAATTAACGAAAATGGGCCTTCTCTTTAATGGTGTAGGATCGGACTTACTGTTTAAAAGAAACAATTTCCACACTAAATACGTTTCTGAGATTGAGTCTGACAACCCCGGAGACTACACGAGCTGCAGAGACGTTCTTGAAGAACTCGGTAAGTTAATACATTATAATAGTAATGATATGTACAAACTTTCATCATTTAATTAGTGTCTTCAAGCTTTTATCAATCATGATGAAAAGTGAGGAGTCGTAACAAAGTATTTCACAATATTCCTATTTAAGGAACGTACAGACCTACTTTTATTATTTCTAAACGCTCTGTTCCTATATAGACAACTGATGATGTAAGTAATTGATAAGTAGATATGTATGAAATTGTCAACTCATCATGTACACGCTATATCCAGTATTTACTTGTAGTTATATACCTACCTAATAGTCTTAGTCAGTATAGCTAGTCGATACAAAACAAATATACGTACTATGGACCTTTGGTTTTGACCTTTTAATTAATGAAGAAATAAAATAAATAAATGAACGAAATCCGTTTGATATATGTACTTTAAGAAAGTAGAGATATTTCTTCTTACTTTATTTATAAGTATTTCACATACCAGCCCCATCTCATTCCGGGGAATATTCAAACTAGATATAATAACATATAAGTATGTTATATAGCTGTTTACAATACAATACAATGTAGCAGCATAAGTATATTTCTTATTTTATCAGTATAGTGCCCTAGACACTACACTAAAACTAAAACATAATAACCAGAGATTAATCTATGTTTATGTAGGCATATTTATATTAATAGAGTACATTATGAATACGTACTGTATCGTGGTCGTTTATAATATCAATTAGTCTTTGATCTCTATAAGCAGTTAACAATAAACAAACTATGAATACTAAATACCTACGTATTTTCCGGACTAATGTAGATAATACAGCGCCCATAAAATAGATAACATCTGATCCCAGCATATCTGATACAGTATATATTTGTAGTTAGAGATACCGCCTCTGCAAACTTAAAACCCTGCTTATAATGACTATACTGTTTATTAATTTAACTAGATATTGCAGTAGGTACTTAATAAGTATATTTGTTTACCAGACGTTTAATATATGTTTATATATAAATCTAATAAGATTATCATTTAGATTGTTTCTAAAATCGACACTTAATATTCCAAAGTAGACCTAGCCCAAGCAGAGAGTAGCCAATCATATAATAGGGTATACAAGCGTAATCATATTTTATTTTTATATGTGGAAGCTGGAATAGGCAATTTTACTTCCTATTTATATCCAAAATTTTTAAAGAGACCTAAGAAATCTTTACTTAGGTATAATAATGACGGTTATGAAGTCGACTGTAATATATTTTTACTGTATTTATTTCCTGAAAACAAACATCAAGTACTTATTATGAGACTGTGTATCTCGGAACATATTGTTAAAGAGAACATTTATTGTGTTTAAAAACTAATTGAATCAAAATCCACTGATTTCATCTAGGTGGTTGAATACATGCTATAACTGTGTTTCAATTATTTTTTTAGTATCAGATATTGTTTGTATAATATTTTATTTTACATTGATTATTATCTGTGTGTATATCTACACCTACTACACTTCATTTACCCTTTACTAGTATTACGACCAACATGTATATTATGAGATTGGAAATCTAATCTACGAAATAAATAATAAATCTGTGTCTATAAACAATAGTGGATATGTATTCAACGTTATAAGTCATTTTAAACGGAAATTAGTTATTACATATTTTAACAATTGCCTACATTATTATCGAATGCAAAAATACTACCATTAGTAAGTAAGGCCATAATTAATGTCAATGAATCGAAATAAACCAACAAACTACTAGGTACAAAGTACGATAAATGCAAAAGATAAAGTAGTATCTAGTTACGAATTAACTGTGGTCGATAAGATATTTACAGAGTTTTAGTGAAGCTCAGGAAAATAGTAAAAGAGGATAATTGTTAGAATATTTGAATTTTCTTATTGCAGGGTTGACACCCGCGTCTGAGGCTGACATGGCTGCGGTAAGGTACGTGTGCGAGTGCGTGTCACGACGAGCGGCACACTTAGTGTCTGCTGGCATCGCCACTCTCCTCAATAAGATGAACAACCCTGTAGTAACAGTTGGCATCGACGGCTCCGTCTATCGTTTCCATCCACACTTCCACAACCTAATGTCAGAAAAGATCCAGCAATTAGTTCAGCCTGGTATAAAGGTAAGTCTTGTATTTGTTATAAGTATGTTGTGTTGTAACCATATTTTAAATTTAATTAAGCTTGGACAATCTGGACGGCCACATATGGCCATCTAGTTCCAAGCTAAGCAGAGGTTACTAAACTAGAGGTACTACACAGTTATATGTACAAATACGTAGAAAACACCCAGACTAATATAAACAATCATACTGATGACTACAAATTTTTGGACCGTGCTAGGAATCGAAACCGCGGCCATCGGAAAGTATAGCGGTGTCCTAAACCCATAGACCACTAATGCAGTCAGTTTTATGATTACATGATACGATAATACGCTGCCATCTGTAGCATAATTTATTAACTTCAATGCATAACCACAACTGTTACATATTTGATTGAAGGGGCTTTGTGTATTTTCATTGCTATTTTCATTATTTTTACGTTTACGTCATGTAACATGTAATAATGTAGGCTACAAATCTTCCGTAAAAAAAACTTAAATGACTGAAACTCATAGCAAAATTCATCGTATAGTTCAAGTGAGCAAGAAATCGCCATATTTTATAGGTACTATTTACATATTAACGTAGCTACACAATTATTTCAGTTCAATCTGATGCTGTCTGAAGATGGCAGTGGACGAGGTGCTGCGCTAGTGGCTGCAGTAGCGTGCCATCAGAGCCAGCAGGGAGCGTAAGCAATGCAACTTATCACCTTAACATGGCGATCTTTTTACCGACGATTTGTGGCATCCTAATTTTGAATTAACCACATCGTAATACCTGTATGCTGAAGTGCTAGTGCATAACTATACATGCACTTGTGTCATTTTGACAGTGAAACCGAATTTTATGTTCAAAATATAAAAACCAATGTTATATTTTCATTACAAAAATTTATTAATTCTGATATCATATTAAGATTATAATATTTTATACAGCTTTTTTATAGTCTTAAAGACAATATAAATAGAGAACATATTGTAAATAGTGTCTACAAAAGACATCAAGAGATATAGTCACATATGGTACTTATGGTTCACGTTCTGTAATGTTATGTATAGATAAAATCTATTTCTCGGCCAACGAGATATCAACTATATTTTATTTAAGTTAAAAAAGATCGGTATGATTTACAAGTACCCAAAAATATAATAATACAAAATTCTAAACTTCTTTATTTAGGTCGGTTATTCTATGTCCAGGGTACATCATTTCTTATTTTAGTATTAGAAAATCGTGGTATACTTAGCTAGAATATTTGCATTGCATTTAGCTACTTTATAAAGGAAAATATTAATTGGAAGACACTATGTTTAATGAAGATAGGCACTAAGATATAATGTCCGGCCGATAAATTAATGTTGTAACAATTAATAATACACATCAGGTACTTATAAAATCCTATATCTAGTCACAAATAAGGCATTACAGAAGTTGACTACATAAGCTTATTTCTTACACCTCTTTGTGGCGCTATGTTTGCATCCATGTTTCATTTTTCATTCTTTTATTATTTTAGAAGACTGATTTAAATTAACAAAGTATCATTGTATTGTTAAAAAATTGAATTACATGAAAGTTGTTGATATATTGTTATAATATTGATACGACATAAAAATTATATACGATATTCGTTTGCAAGTGCCTATCTTAGCCAACGCTTGTCACATGCTTTGAGCCCTTTGAGTAGATATATAAATTTAAATAAAGTTTGGACTGAACCATGTTAATAGTTAGGTATCAGTGAGTAAAGTATGTTATGTTTTAGCAATAAGTAGTTTTATAGTGATGTATAAAGATTTTTATTGGACAGATAGCTTGTATAATGTTACATAGTTGAGGTACTTATATATGTACTTAAAAAGTTATTGGGTAAAGTATAAAAATTAAATTCAATATAATATATTTATTTATTGCTACAATTTAAGTATACAAATGTTTTATACAACGTTAGGTGACTTTAGTCAGTATGCCTTTCAATATTAAGTAAATATGTACATTTATAGATTATACAAGCCAGCTTCGTAAACATGCGTATTCTGTAAAATAAATTAATACATAGGTATATTCAAACGAGATAATAAATTAATACCTACAGCAAAGGCTTGCTGATGTGTCTTATAGGATATACCTATTTATTATTTATAATAAACGATTTTTATACAGTAGGTATATAATTATATGTATCGTAGCATATAGTTATTTTAATCATTCCATAATCTAATTTCCAACGTTATTTTCTTGTACTTATGCATATTAGTCATATAACAGATAAGGCAAAATGAACCAGTCGTGATATTTATGGTATATGTATACATAACAGTACTACATATAGATATAGTTGAATAGAGTTTGTTCCACATCACAATTTGTTTAAACAATAGAATTTTCATCTGTACTTACAATAATATGTAGTAATTTGAAAAGTAGTTTAAAGAGACATAATACACATACCATTTACTATTATTTTTGTATAAAATACATAATGGGAAATTATTTAGTGGAGCGAAAAATAATATTGATTGAGAATATATTCTCTTTTTTAATTGCCCTATGCTCTATATTGTAGTACGTTATAAAACACATATATCTACTTGAATGCGAGTATATCATGTACTTTAAATTGCACTTTATGATCATAATTTTACTTTAAATATTGAGAGAGATAGTTTCATTATTATTTTAAGTTTGATATTTTTCTGTGATAGTACTAGGAATTATTGAATATGAATAAAAGTTTTGTTTATAAACTACTTATATTGTTTTAATTGTTAATCGTGAAAAAAATCTAAGTAATTGCATTGAAATTTTGTCCAAGTCTAATCAATAGTATCGCACGTACCTACGTATTTGTTGAACTTAAACTAAGAATTTTGGAATACGTACGAGAGTGGCGAGAAGTGTGCGCGAGCATGTAAGAAATAGTAAGTAAATATGGAGTATAATACTAGCTACTCGCCCTGCCTTCGCACTGGTGTACATTATTTATACATATAAACGTTCCCCTTGAACCTATTGCCAAAAACTTCAAAATCCGTTGCGTAGTAGTAGTAGATCTAAGCGAACAGATAGCGGAAGCGACTTCATTTTATACTATGTAAAGATAAGAAATAAGAACATGTACCGTGAGTAGGATGTAATCGTGTTTGCATGTTGATCCTTAAATTTTTCTGTAGCACATTCTTTATTCAAAAATCGACCTAAATCATTATTATTATAAAGAGAAGAAAGAAGAAATTAAAAGAATTAGCCCATTTCTTTTTGGTACGTAGCACCTTCGTATAGGGCTATATATTAATGTCTTATTATTTCAAGCCTGAATAAATGAATCTTTAGATGAAATTTTTTTAAGAATATATATTATATGCACGTAGATCGTATATAAGAAAGACAACAGACGCTATTTAAGACACGGCTCTCTATATATCTACTTGAACATTTTATAACACACAACATGTGGCGTGGGTGTTAGGGGTATTTTTTAATGGATAATAATAAAATAGTTCATCCGACTGCGCTGACGGTTTACTCTGGTGGGGCACCAGTGGAGCATGTTTAGATGATCATGAGGCCGACTTCACTGACTGGCCTCAGGCAATAAGCCCATCGTGACAAATACACTAGGAATTTATCACGATGGAACTCAGGGGGGACAGTCGCAGTCATGTCTTTGTATTCCGCAGAAATATCCGTATACAATGTCGCTAATTGCATTAAGATATAACTATATCTAGGGAGGTTACTCATGAATATTATTACTTTATTACTAAGTAGAAGGTAACCGAAATTTGTATTTATTGATTTCACAAAGTAGGTATTATGTTTCACAAGTGATTATTCTTTGTAAAGGTATTATTGTTACATTTATGAATAAATTTGTTAACTGTCCATTATTTCCTTAATATTTATATTTCCTTATTATTCTATACAAGTAGTGGTCGCATATCTTCCAATATCCATCAAAAATATAAAAAGGCATAAAATCTAATTCCGAACAATTCACCCGCAATTAACCGCTGCAGCTGGCAACAAGTGGTATATAATAATTATAATTGTTTAACATTAAAACAAAACAACTTTGGTTTTTAGCTCTTTATTGTCACAAAATACACTAAACAGTGCATTTTAACATAATAGTGAATACAAAAATTAATATTCCTATACTAAAGTGAAATTTGCGTCATTGAGTTATTATTAATATATATATAGTAATTTTACAATTTGTGTGCTACAATCTTAATAATACAGATGATGTTATAACGCGACACTACTAGGAAAACTTACTGTAGGCACAGTGAATAGGGCGTCATCATGACATAACAACAAAACGGACAGTAGTGACGGAATCTTCTTAAAAAATAGATTATAAAAAAATATTTGAGATTGTCAGCTAAATATATTTTTTACGGTACCGGAACGAAATAGTAATTAATAACGAATTGAAGTAAACTTAATCATGTGTCTGAACGATATTACATTTACTTTATAACATAATGACACCCTCTACAGGTATGAATAAGTCATCTTCATTTGTCACTTGAATTAATTAATATAATATTATAAAAAATACAGTACGCCTCTTCGAGGGCTGTTTCATTCGAGGTATTCTTACACTACATGTTGAAGATAAGCTAACTTAAAAATAAATTCATTATCTTTATCAATTATATAAGAATTACTCCTAAATATCTATATTCGACACTCTTTTCTACTAGATAACTGAATATGTAATTATAACAAATTCTATTTCGCATGCATAATGAGCTAGAAAAATGGTATATTTATATATGTATATTCATAAAATATTACGCCAGTATGCCCAAAAATCTCATATTTTTTAATAGCAAGTAGTTTTTACAAAATGATCTGTCTATGATTTTTTCTATTATAGTAGATACATAGTATATTATTTTCATTATAAATAAAAGTGTCATAACAAAACAACAATAAAATTCTGGGAGTTCAATCACAAATATCATATTAAAAGTACCTATAATACTATGAGAATCATAAAGTACATCACATCCAAGAGTTAATAATAATTAACAAGGCGTCCTAGGAGATTACATGTCACAATCAATTAACTTTCAAAAAATATATCTCTCACACAGATTCACAGACACTTTTACATTTATATTTAAAGAGTTCTGTACATATACAATGGTGTTGAATACAACTCTTGTACCATATGCATTTTTGATTATATTGCATATCAGTCAACTGTTCAAATAAATTTCTTTAATTCCATTTCAATGCAATATGATTTATATTGAAATATATATCCTAAAACAAATTGATCTGAATACAATCTCCTTATACCTTAGACATGCCATTCCTAAACGCGACAGGCACATTCCGATGGCGCCCTTGCAGGTTTTTTAGGTACATTCAGTCTCTTTGATGTACTTGTTCCATACTGAATACCAGATCCAATTCGCTCTGGGTCTAGCTCTCCAGTTTCTATTTTAGCTAGGATGGTTTTAGAACACTTCAAAAATGACTCTTCAACATTCTCGCCTGTCTTAGCACTTGTCTCTAAGAACATGAGCTCTGCAATATTATTAATGAGATGTTATAATGTACATACTGTAACATTGAAAAACATATAAACAATATTATAGGAATATTTACCATTTTCCTGAGCAAACTGACTAGCTTCTGTGAAAGTGACTTCTCTAGATTCTTCCAAATCTTTTTTATTGCCAACAAGTAAAATTACAATATTGGGACTAGCAAGTGTTCGCGCATCTCTCAACCAATTAGTCAATGCATTAAATGAGTCCCGTGATGTAATGTCATATACAAGAAGTGCACCAGCAGCACCCCTGTAGTAAGAGCGAGTTACAGAACGGAACCTCTCTTGTCCAGCGGTGTCCCATATTTGTAACTTAGTTGATTTTCCACCAATATTGACAATTTTAGAACCAAATTCTACGCCAATGGTGTGACATCTATCTTCTTTGACTAAAATTGAGATATACATAGAATATTTAAAAATTTGTTATAATTAGATAATTACATAATAATTTATAAATACATGTATAGCAATATATCATTTTCAATCTCATGACTATGAAATAATCATAAGAATAAAAATAAAATATCAACCTATATTTCTTAGAGAATCAAGAAAAAATTTGATCTAGAAATTATTGTCTATAGGAGTCATCTACTATAGACTCGAGAATCTGATAGATACTGTTACTTTTTCCATTTAGTGAGTACTTATTTGATCATATTTAAGGTAAAATGTTTGTATATATGTTCTGTAAACAGGTGTTGAAACAGAGTATATATATAATGCTTGACAATAGAACCTGAATAACACATAAATTTCAAATTTAAATAATTATTGTCTAATTTCAACAGTATGAATTTATATTAATGGGCACCCAAGCCCACTAATACAAATTCATACTTTTGATTTTATTATATGTTTAGTTTAGTGATATTAGTAGTTTATACTTAACTATATAAAGTATAAACTACTAATATCATTAAACTAAACATATAACTTTTGATATCACGTTCAAAACGTTTATGCCCATTGAATGCATTGAAATCAATGGTGAATGTTAAATAATGTAAAATTAGAATACAGTAGGTACAGTGTATAATTTATACAGTTGTATATCTCATTCGAGCGTGAAATATCGGTCTACAAATAATATATTATAAGTAATCGTATTTGCGAATTAATATCTATAAACAATAATGAATTGAGCTAGTAAAGAAATTCAATAACATGGTGACTCTTCGCCTAAAAGATAATATATTAATCGGTTACTCACATTTATTTCCGATGAAATTGTTAAGTAGGCTTGACTTGCCCGTACCAGCACTGCCTATCACCAAGAACTTAAACAAGTACTCTATAAATAAGAAAAATAACATTGAAATACTGATAATAAACATTCTTAACAATGTCATTTAATAAGATTCCCTACCGTAAGTTTCCGACATCTTTGGATTATTGCATATATTCTTGCACAGTTTATACTAATTTCTTGCTTTTTAATTTATATAGTCTATTTATTCTTATAAACATAAATTAGAAAATATACGACTGAATCAGAACATGTACGGATACAACAAATTGACAAGTTTTTCTTGTTTTCGTTCATTCTTTAATAGAAAGGCAAAGGAAACTAGGCCCATACAGCCAATTTTATATAATTATGTCCTTATTTTTTTTAGTTTACATATTTTATATGTCTTGAATTGTTGAGATAATGTTATAAGTGTAAAGAATGTTCTTGAGTTTCTTAATAGTCCGCAGAAAAAGGCAAAAGCTTGGTTAACATAAGCGTACAACTAATTTTTGCAAATGCAACTAAGTATATTGTTTCTTTAGCAATAATTGTTGAGTTTTAATTATCTAAATTGAAATATATCTGCGAACTAGTTAGGTAATATTGAATAAGAACGCATTTTGGACAGAAAGACAGGATACAGAAAAATTCTAATCTTTGTAATCTGTGGTCAATTCTTAATTTTCATTATTGTTTAGTTATAGACGTTTCTTTCTGTCAGTTCTGTCACTGGCTACTATTGCTTAACTTTATTTATACCACTAATATATTGTTAAAAACTTAAATAACTTAAGCAACACTTATGTCGTTGTTGGCAAATAAATTCCATGTAAGTATGTAGATGTAGAGGTTATAACTGGTTTGTTTTATTTTAAATCCTATTCGATATTTTGATTTTCTTATTACCCTAGAATGCTTTTCTTCACAAAACGTATATACCAAGTACAAATCAAAACAGAACATTTTGGGAATATGTCAATATGATGTTTAATAGACCAGATCCTAAACGAATAGAAGCTGTGGGGCCTGACCGTGCCTGTGCTGAGTGGGTCTTACGAAATGGTGGCCAGATTATTTGGACGGACGGGAAAAAATTGAGCGATTATAATTCTTTACCTGCTGATGATCAAAAAGTGCCCAAGATATTGGAGATCGATGGAACAAACTCATCTATATCTCATTATGGTTTTCCACATTTAAGTAAGTAGTACTTAATATTACTTTTATAATCTACTATTCTCTGAACATAAAATGTATATTTGTAATTGCTGACAAATATATCTACCTCATATACTGATAAATCAAAAATAGGAATAAAAAGTTATTCTTTAATAATATTAATATTTACTTAAAATAAACTTTACAGGTGGATGCACAATGCTACAACGAATTATATTACACAATAATAATTACATAGATGATAGAGCCATGAAAGGTTTATCTCATGGTCGGGCCAGTCTAACACATGTTCAAGTGTCGAAATGTCGCAGTGTAACAGATTTGGGAATAAAAGAAATTAAAGTATTACATAAATTAGAGACATTGAAATTGTTTGACTTGGAAGAAGTAAAGAATCTTGAAGAATGTATAAAGTATCTGCAATCACATTTGCCTAAATGTCAAATACAATGTTAGCTGTAAAAATGTAAAGAAAATTATACAAAAGTTTTGTATAATTTTCTTTCAACTATTAAAGACATCAAATTAAACAAAAATATCGTTAATGAACATATTCAATGGAATATTATTAAAATTACTTTTTCTCTAAAATTTGAAGAGTTTGCACACATATTGTGTTTTTAAAGTGACATATTTTAATACACAAAGCACATTTTCATATAAACAAAATATATTTACTATGTGCCATATTTACATTTATTCCATGTCATATCATTTTCCAGAAGGTGGAAAGAAACTACAAGAAAATTTGGCATAAAGTACAATTGATTGTAACCAATGTCTGTAGTAAATATTACCCAATCAATATTTTGTCATTTCACTTCTTTACCAGCTTCTATGATATTCTTATAACCATCTCTTTGTAATAATACAATTCAGATTTTGCAGATTACTGGAGGACCATGGTAAATGAAAGCTGTATATATCTGTATCATATTATCTCTAACTAATATCTTTTCATATGCATCTTGTCCTGTAAAAACTCCTACAGGGAGTTGTAGAAGTTTTTACAATTATTGGTATTTTTCCTGAAATTGACTATAAAAAATAAAAACAATAATAAATTCTATAAACATAATATTATAACGAAGATAATATTCTACAAACCTGTTGTTCATTTGTAAATAATTTTAATTTCTCTTCATTTATTTGCTAGAGGCTTTCCACTAAATCCACCAGCTTCATTTGGTAATGTTCCATTTATTGAAGAAGGATTTTTTTTCTACTACATATCCTCTGGAATATTAAAAGTAATTTTAAATTACTTTTTTATCTACAATTTGAAGAGTTTGCACACATACTGTGTTGTTAAAGCAATATATCTTAATAAAAAAACACATTTTTGTGCTTTTTCATATAAACAAAATATATTTACTATTTAATTTAATATGTGGAAATAATAGGTGGAAAGAAAGTAAATTAAATTTCGACATAAAATACAATTAATTGTAGCAAATGTTACAATTAATTGTATTTCAATTTAAGATATCAGTTTAAATTAATAGCAAATTTTGTTTAGGTTTTTGTCAGTACAGTAAATTGTATTTTATGTCGTTTGTAGTCAATATTACACAAACAATTTTTGTCATTTAACTCCTTTTCCAACAGCTTCGCTGACATTCTTGTAGCCCTCTCTTTCTAATATTTCTGCTAATTCTGATTTTATTTTGCTGATTACCGGAGGACCATGATAAATTAAAGCTGTATATATCTGTATCACACTAGCTCCTGCTATTATCTTTTCATATGCATCTTGCCCTGTAAAAACTCCTCCAACACCAATTATTGGTATTTTTCCTAAAATTATTATTAAAAGATATAAACACTGATAAATAAAATGTAATATTTCACAAAACATTGTGGTGAATGTAACACTGTATGGCCAAATAGTATAATTATAAATAAATGACAAAAATATTGTACAAACCTTTTGTTAATTTGTAAATAATTTTAATCATTTCTGTTGATTTATTTGCTAGAGGCTTTCCACTCAGGCCACCAGCTTCATTTGGGAATGTTTTATTAATTAATGAGGGTTTGTCAATTGTGGTATTTGAGATTATAAGACCATCAACATTACTTTCCTTCTTTGTAATAATATAGACTATGTCTTTTATTTCTTCAATAGTCAGATCTGGGGCCAGTTTCAGAAGTAGCGGAATCCTTTTTGCTGACTGAAGCAAATTTCTTGTTTTATTTACTGCTGTCAGAAGTTCAAGTAACTCTTCTTTCTTTTGTAATGATCTTAATCCTGGAGTGTTAGGACTACAAAAAGGAACTATATAATTATAGTATTCAATACTAAAAAAGTGATATTAATATTATTGTTTGTGCATTAGTACTAAATGTTATATGTAACTGTACCTGCTGATGTTTATAACAAAATAATCAGCTACATCATAAAATTTCTTTATGCCTATTGTATAATCATGAATCGCATTTTCTGATAACTTATTCTTTCCTAAATTTATTCCCAATAGGCATTTGTCTAATAATGCTTTGTTAATACTTTGCATCTTTTTATAAACTTCATTATGGCCTTCACTGTTGAAACCATATCTATTAATTACAGCTTTATCTTCTGGCAATCGAAACACCCTAGGCTTTGGGTTACCAGTCTGGGGCTCTGGGGTCACTGAACCGACTTCTATAATGGAGAAACCAATATTTTTCAAACCCAATACAGCATCACCATGTTTGTCAAAACCAGCGGCTATGCCTACCGGACTACTTAGATTTGAGTCTAGGAATTTTGTGTTCTGTAATGCAATAATACATGACAAATAATATATAATAACAATTTTTACAGTTAGTCTATATGCACAAAATAAATTAATATTAATAAATTATTACAATATTAGTGAATAAGAATATTCACAAGTTTATTTTCACTGATATACTATAGTGGGGTAACCGAAATAGAATGAAGCCACAATTTTGACTAATCTGTTGGAAGTTTCAATCCTGTAATGGTAAGTACTGTGGTAATTGACTGTGGTTTCAATGTTTTAATTTTGTTTTGTTTCTTGTTTGATAATCTTACATTATACCATTTAATAATGTTATAAATACTTGCAATGATGTTGCAGCAAACAATTTATTATCTTATAACTTTTTACAGAGAAGAGAAGTCACAATATAGAACTTGAAATATCACTACTTAATTTTTATTATATTTTAGATTTATTTAGTATTCAATATTTTTAATGTAAATATTTATCATTCACTAAAAAAGTGGGCAAGTGTACTTACTAAAATTTTAGGGTCTGTAAAACTTTCTGTGGGAAAGATACCATATTTGATAGCAGTTACACCAAATTTATGTGCCAACTCTGGGTTTAGGTATTGACTTGCTGGTTCCAAAACTTTTCCATAATATCCATTGAAGTCCTTTTTTATATAAATTAGTTGGTATGCAATAGATCCTCCTAAAGTCAAATAACATAGTGACTTTATTTTTTTCTGAAAGATATTAAAGACAACACAGTTTTTATAAAACATACTATTTATAAAAGTTAAAATTTTAAAAACATACAAAAACAGATATATTGTGATAGCTTGTCAGTGGCTTGGTTTGTGTTATAAATTGTTTCAACATATATATTGTGTAGCCGTAATACCAATACGTAATACCTTATATATATTAAAATAAAATAAAGCCCAGAACATTCAAATATTATTATTACTTACAATAGCGTTTTGTTTTGAACTCATGCCGACAATAATTTATTTTGATATAGCAGTTGACTTAGGAATAAACCAAATTAACGAAAAATAAAATATTATTTTGTACAACGAATAATTGTGATCTTTGTTTCTTTTATTAATAAAGTTGTAATATTAACCAAAATATTTTTCAAATGATATCACGTGGGATAATTATGTAGCGTAAATGACATCTGTCAATAATGCGATTATACTGACGCTGTCATGAGCGTAGTGTATAGTACTTTTCCTTTCACTGAAATGGGGAAAAACAAAACAAAAAACAAATTTACGCTGTCCACTAGTATTGCAACATAACTTTACATATCGATAAAAAATATTTCTATTGAATGTCGATTCAGTAACCTCGTTGCAATGTCACGTAATCGCTATTTTGGCGAAATGACAGAGAGGCAAAATGTTCTCAGAGTAAGAGAAATAATTTAGATAATTCTTTTGGTTCAAATCTTTAAAATATGATATGAGCATTTATCTTGTTTTGGTAATTTTCAGAGTCACATGTATTTTTATTTTATTAAATATTATCTAAAAAGTATAAGTAATAAATTGGAAATATTGTCACGACCCAAAGATTGCAAAACATGTTATTTTGATATATGTATCGTATTTATATTCATATGCATGTAGTAAACACCGGTTACAGTTATTTCAATATTACAAGCAGACACTCCAATTTTATTAATATATATATATAGATTAGTGGTACTCTGTGCATTTACCTGTCAGATTTCGTTTACAATAAATACTTCACATCCTTATCAATCAAGTCTTATCAATAATTTTTATATTTGAATGCAAATTGATAATACTTTTTAAGTTTACAGTTTTCATTTTAAGATTTTATACTTACTACTTACATGTCATAACTCTATAATAATTTATAAAATCAAAAATTTATATTTAAATCACAATGAAAGCTATTCTGATATTCGATAGTGTTAATGATTTATTATTTTCCAAATGGGACGATATGTTTATAAAACGAATGAAATTTTTCAATGAACAGGTTGGTTTGGTTTATATTATAGCAGCAGTTAGTAAAATTTACTGATTTGTAGATATCTTGAAAATATAGATTAATGAAAATATCGAAATCGAAGCACTACATATAATATAATATTACATACTAAGACAACATACTAGGTATTTCTACGCTTTCACACATTTCTACTAAAAACTATTCTCATATTGAGAAGTGGTTATTAAATTTAAAAATGAACACATGAGTGTAAAACAGTTCGCTTTCCACAAAATAAGTAGTGCAACAAAAAAATATTTTTTCATCAATTAAATTTACTTCATAAATGTAACTATTATCTTATATTTTTGCTACACTAGAAATAAAGTAGAGCAGTACCTACAGTATGTAAATATTGTACTGAGTTTTGACTGTGAAAATGCCTTTGCTTTGGGTCCCCTGATAATAACTTAATATGTTTCCAATTTATTTGTTTGCTAAAAAACATGTTACATTTTTCTCTTCCATTTGGAACAATAATTTTTCAGGTAAATGAAGATTTGAATGATAGCCACAATGTATCACAACTGCTGTCTCCCATAATTACTTCTCAACGTGTGATGGCTGCTCAATTTGGTAATACATATTCTTCAATGCAGTGTAAAGATAAGACTACAATAGTTTTTGATGAGGTATTGTATAACAATAATAATTTATTTACTTTAACGGGCTTACATTGAGATGCAGACCCCACACCCATCCACTGTTGTCGCCTGCATGCTAACAACTTATTTAATTTATATACTTAGTAATAATAGTCTAGTATGGAAGTATCAGCTTTCCGAAAGAGTGGTAGATAAAAAAACAAATTGGTATGACTATTCAAAATTAAGTTTATTTGAATAAATTATTTTCTATTCTATTCTATTCTATTTAGGTTGTTGATTAAATATAAATGAATATTTACAATTAAAGTTTGGAAAATTTAACTCTTAAGGGGTAAAGTAAAATAGAGCATGAACTTCATCATTTTAGCTAAAGTTAGAATGATCTAACTTTTTATTGCTACCCAAAGTTATTTTCCATGCGGATGGAGTTGCAGGCACAGCTAATTCTAGTATAAAATTGTTCTCTGTGATTATTATAATACTTTGATCTTTTTAATATGCAATTTATTTTATATTTCAGTGGTTAGATCATGTACTCATGATAGTTAGTGAAGACAAGCTAGAGGATGCTCATAGGGAATTACTTGACTGTAAGACATTTGTGCAACATATTTGTGGACAGAATATAAACATGTGAGTATCTCCAGAATAATATTATGGTATATTAGGCAGCTTTCACAGCACTGGCATCCACTTGAGTATACTCCATTTATAAGTAATAAAATAAGTTCCCTTCACAAGTCCTCTGGCTACCCTTATCTAGTATAACTCTCAGAGTAGATTATGGCCAATGCCTTTGACTACATGCAATGTGAAATACATACATTTCCCTGGAGTTTTTACAAACTTTTGTTTAAATTTTAATGTAAGTATTGAACTATGATTGTTCTTATTACCATGTTATTCATCTGGTAATAGCTGACTTTTCTGGCTATTAGCTGACTTGTTATTGTTATTTAAGTATATTGTTCTGTAGGCTGCATTCACCTGTACATCAAGAGTGGATGTCAGTACTCATAACTAATCGAGGTAAAGGAGATTCCATTCCTGGGGCAAGTGGTGTTATCGGCGAAAGTGGAGCCACCGCAACCGCACTTAACGCTCTCAAAACAGCTGCTAAAGAAATTAAATGTTCACCTTATCATCATTATCATCTTATGTTATTTGTTGGTGATAAGTTACTGGCACTTTATTCCAGGTAAATATATATTATTTAAGTATATAATACATTAAGCTTATCCACATTCAAATTATTTGTTACTCTTTTCAATGGAAATATCCAGGGTTTTGAGTGGGATTGTAAAAGGAAAACTTGCAAAATTCCATGTCTCTAGACCCAAAATTTGTGGCTGTGTCAAATAATCTTAAAATAACAATGTAACAAATTCTATACCACTTCATTTCTTGGAGAGGTCAATATGTTTTTTTGACAGATTTTTATAAAACATTGTCTAATTTTTTTATTTTTGCTAATACTTTGTGAATCAATGGTTTGTTAATTGTATATACCTGTGAAATTACAACTGTTATTATTATCACAATAACCTCTTCTGTTTACAGTAATACTTATATTATTCTATTGACTAATATAGGTTACAGAGAATGTTATATGTATTGCATAAAGTTACAGTATAATATTTCATAAAAAAAAACATTTTTAGTCGAGGCAGTGAAGATTTAACACCTCCAGACTTAATACTCATAAGTATACAGTGTGTTGCTGCTCAAGAATACTGGAAAGATGTGGAAAGAATAAGTGATGATGCTATGAAAATCCGCTTACCTTGTAAGTAAAAAAACTGCTATTAATATAGTAAAAGCGGAAGGTTATACCCCTATAGGAATAGCATAAATTTTATTGATAAACAGTATCTACTGAAGCTGTACAGTACATACTTATATTCAACTTAAGGCAGTCAATATTTACTAAGCTTAAATAATTATGAATTTGTAGTTAGCGATAGAAGTTCGTGTTTTCTGGTACTAAATACACTGGTATTTAGTACCAGATTTTGTTTATTGAAACACTGACTTCTGTCATTAACAAATACTAATAATAATAATAATAAATACTACGTTCACATCTATTTATATAAAAACCAAATTCCAGAACCGATTTTAATGACACTCTTTGGCGCCTGATTGCAAGTGTTTTCCAATTAAAAAAAATTCCAAATCGGTTTATAAATGAGGAAGCTATCACGCGTTTATAAGTGACAAAAATACCCTAAAACCTCATTCTTCAATAATCTGAAATTAATGTTATGTATAGAGACTATAATAATCCAATGAATAAGATACAGACAGGCCTCAAACGCTCTGTGTTCTAGCCTTGCTTTGGCAAGCATTTAGCTGCAAATTATCGTAGGAATCGAAGCTGTTATCTCCCTACTTAGACAAATAAATAGTAGCTTATTTCAGTGCTACTGAATTTTACTAATGAAATTTTACATAATCACACTTCTACAGGAACAACGGTATGGTTAAATGGTCTCAATTATCAAAGCTTATAAAGTGCTCAGTGTTCTTTGAAGGGACTGAAGGCTTAGATAATTTAGAAACAAGTGAATAGGAAATTACATATTCGCTATTACTCGCATGAGAAATAAATGGGACATTGCTATCTCATTCTACTTCATGAATATGTTAGCCTAAAAGTATTTCACAATTTGCGGTCTGTCTAGGGTCTATTGCATAAATATCGATTTTTAGAGAACATATTTAAACATGTTAGTTACTAACCTCTTGTTTCAGGGTTGTCTGAGGAGAACAGTGCCATTGTGAATCTTTGTGCGAGCACAACAGGTAGTCCTTGTTTACCCTATTCTATGCATCTCGCCGAAGTAGCTCCACGTATCACTTTTGCTGTACTTATTGATATGGAATTAAGGTATATATTTTCTAGGTTCTATTCTTTCGTAAGATATAGAGATAGTCCCCTAAATAAAGTATACTCATCTATTACAGGTCGTCAAATTTGTCTACATAATTTCAGAAAACCTTTGCAAGGTAGATGGCGTAGCAAAAAGAGAACGAAATGCATTACTAAACTCATTTTACGGTCCATCGCGTGCCTCAACATTTTAAAGCCCCATAGGAAATAAGTATCTATTGATAACTAAAATCTGTAATAGATACTTGTTAATGATCACTAGTTATAAAGAACTCTAGAGTATAAATTATATTACTTGATTATAATTGTTTTTTTTTTTATATTCAGGGAAGCGGGTACTGCTGTACACGTGTCTAACCAAATATTGTCTAACTTAAAGAGGCTATTATTACAAAGGAACTTGGAGATGTTACCTAGCACACTTGATGCTTTAGAAGCTTCTCTGAAAAAGGTAACAAATGAATTATTATACTGGTTATATAGATTTTTATGTGAATCCTGGGTAAAGGTGAAAATGCGAAATACAGTATGTACAGAATCGTCTTATACTACTTAGGATTTGTGTGTTTGTTTATCAATCACATCTAAACGTCGCGTCTGTTCGAATTTTAACAAAACTTGGTACACAAAAGTACATGCATATCCTATGTGTTAATCTAGCATATAGCATTCATAATTCATAGCATATAGAGATCCAGCTAGTTACACAATAAAATAATAAACAGTTTAATATTTTTACTTCAGACAACAGACGCCTTACGAAAAAATAAAGCTAATGCCAATCTATGCACTCGTTTGACCTCACGAATGCTGGAGCTGCGTAAATCGTGTACAACTACTACCCCACTCACCCCGGAGACTACGGCTACTGCCATGCATACCGCCCTGGAAGCCGCCATTGAATATCTCAAACCGGACATACCCAGCATAAAAAATATACAGGCTTCAAAGGAATTAAAAAATATATTAACACCATATGTGGAGTTTCTTCAAGTCAAGGCAATGCGATACTTCACTCTTGGATCATATCCTTTTATTACAGTACTACATACATACACACACACACACACTCCAAGTTTAGTCTGTAACATATAGCAAGTCGAAATCCGATGATATTCTGTACTATTAATAATAATGTTTAGTCAATTTTAAATTTTCACTCTCACACACGTTCATAATAATTATTTTCGCATTGAACTCCGGTTTTTACCATCATATTTCCCATTTTCTGAAAACTCATATGTTTAAATTTTCTTTGTTGTATACAATAACGAGAAGGTATTAATGATATACAGTCAGATAACATTCATTGCACCAGTTCAAAATTTAGTTTCACACAAAAATGTACTTACCTATTTCAATCTTAATCAAAGACAAAACTATGTGGGAATGTGCCATTTAAATGACGAAACGAGGATTAAATAAAATCTATTCACAATACTTGAATATATACATAAAAGTTAAATTGGAATGGAATACAAAAGTATCTTAATGTTTTAGTTTTTTATCATGTGCCAGTTTTGTAAGATTATTTTGCTTAATGTGTGATGTTTGCGAGTGCACGGGTGCAGAAGACAGTGGTTCCCTAACACTGCACAAGTATGTGGAGGAGTTCCCTGGACTGATACACTTCATATACGTGGACCGCACCACCGGTCGCTTCATGGCGCCCGACATGGCAGACTGCGTTGATATGCTATCACCTGACACAGTAAGTTATTTCATACGTACTTTTATTTTCCAACTTTTAAAACGTATTAATATTAAAATATATAGTATCTATTTTTAGTAGCTTAGCTGTGTATTAGATAAATTTTATTGTTTGTTTGGGAAATCTCGATGAAAATACAACTTATACATTTGCGGGTTTTGTTTTATAAATGTATATCAGAAAAAACCACTAAGTCACATTTTCTTGTTGTTAAATAATTTTGTATCTTTTAAATTATCAAAACAATACGTACTTATCGTATATATTGTTTTTAGAACAATAAAAAATCAAGCGAATACACAACTTACAACGAAAGTGAAACTAGTGTTTTATAAATAAGTGAGTTAGGAAATAGTTATCAATTTTTTTTAATGATCAGATGTTATAACCATAATTCTAAAAATGAGATTTCTTATGTATATCAATTTTTTTAGCATATGGATTTGCGCCTTTACATTCATCGTACGTCGTAAGTTTTTTTTGATGCTTTGTAATAATAAAGAAATACATTGAATAAACGGAACGGTCGGTGCTAGGTAAAGCGGGTGGTGTCACGCACGTTCTCAATGCTGCACGAGGGATATAGCGCGGCCACGTGGCGTCGCGGCGCGCTGCACGTGTGCGCGGTCACGTGGTGGGAGCGGCGCGAGGCGGGCGCGGGCGCGGGGGCGGGGGCGGCCGCCCTGGACGCCGCCCGCGCACCTCACCCCGCCGCCGTACGCGCGCTGCCCCCGCCCGGCGATATACTCGGCACTTTTTACAGGTAGTAGATTATTTTCCCTGGAGACACTAAAGCAAAGCGTTCTTAATATTGTAGGCTTAGGGGAAGGGGATTATTAGTAATGTGGATTAATAACCTCAAGCAATGTGCCATCTAATGTTGACCTGCACGCCGTTCTCCCTGGAAACCATCATGTCATATGACTTCATACTCGTCTTATCCTACTCTACTGGTGCCCCGCTGACGTGTACTATTAGCGCAGGAGGGTGAACCATTCGATTATAAAATATTGTAGACTCGCTGACCCGCACAGCTTCGTCTGTATATATAAATAATATTATTTACCATTGAAAACCATACGCATGTATAAACAATACGTATATTGGAACTATTATTAAATGTATGATTGAAGGGAAGGGGGTTGTTAGTAATGGGAATGCTAGCAATGTACCATGTTAGGTCGAACTCCAATCTGAAACCATCGCGATAAATTCCTAGTGAATTTGTCACGATGGGCTACTGACCTGACCTCATTCATCTTATTATTTTCCACTGGTGCCCCGCCAGCGTGAACCATTAGCGCAGGTACATCCTTTCACTACCAACCACAAAAAATATATGATTAAATGATTATTAATAAATTTATATCTGGCCCTTGTAAATAAAAGACGTTGCTATTAGAATTTTATACTTAACAAGATGGTAAGACAGTATCAGTGTCTTCTATTGTTTGATAATTTTACTGTTGACATTGTGTAAACCTTTTACCAAAAATATCTACATATTTTACGTTTAGAATTCTCTATATTATTTACACTGTGGAGGTTTAACTCTACAAATAAAATATAAACTCGGTCTTCAGACAGTTGTTGGAGCTCGCGTTCCCAAACGAGAGCCAGGAGGTGAGTATGAAGGAGTTGATCTGCGTGCACGTGGGGCTGGTGCCGGCGCCTACGGCCGTGCAGCAGGCGCGCCGTCTCGCACACTCGGTGCGGGAACTAGCTGCCGTCGACCGCGCCGCCGCCGCGGACTTACTCTGAACGGTAGGTAATCCACACCACGCGGCCACTACAACTGCTCTGGCTGTAATAATATAACCAGTAGCTGTCTTTACACGTACGCTCTTTCATACTAAAATAATGTGTATGTAAATGTAAACCGAGAAAGAGGACCGTGCGCGCCACCAGCTCGCGCATTCCCGCATTCTTCAATCGTGAATGCCTTATAATCAGTGTTAGATAATAAAAGTTATAATCTCAGCAACTGACATAGCTTTAAAGAACAAAGCTTTAACGCTTACAATATTTAAACTCTTTCAACATTTGAACACAAGTCCTACCATCTCAAGGCTTTTAAATAACGTTTAAAAGTCAAGGCACGTTATATTTAGATACATATAACGTGCTTTGACTTTTATGTGTGCATGCAAATTTATACAAGCTAATAATCGCTACTACTACACACTACAATACCACTGTACATGCAGTAATCGCATACTGTGACTTCTCATATTTGGACTACACTGGTTGCTTACCATCAAGCAGTAGATTCACTTCGACTATAACTACAAATGACAAATGTTTGATGCTAATTTATAAGCAACAACACCTCGTAATCGACTACAACTCGAACTTAAATCATAACCTCGAAACAGTACTTATAATGCATTTGAAGCTATATTAGGTTCAGGGTCGGTTGATTTGTAGTTTTATAATAAACCTAATATTCAGCTATATTCAAGTCCTATGAATGAAATTTATACTAAATATTTAATTTTTTTTAAATATTTAAATACTGTATTGTGACGTGCAATATTGTGTGTCTATTTATGTCTATGTCTATTATAAATAAGATTCTTGTTTGCGCAGGTCTTGGCTTAAGTTTAGTTTTATTTATTTATTAGTAGACTGAATGTATTAAATGATCTCAAAAAAAGATGCATTGTATTGGAGTTTGTTTCGTGAATTACCTATGTATATGTCTAAATAAAATTACTAATTCACCATATTTGTTTTATTTTAATGCAATCTATTTACAAAAATATTCTGTAATCACATTATGATACATATGTAATGTTTAAAATCTTTGTCATATATGATCTATAACAATAATGATACTAGTAGTAAATTCTCTGAAATGTATGCTGCGTATTTAATAAGAATGTAATAGTATAAGAAAATGACTGTCAATTTGTATAATTGGTGTTGAGAAAAATTATTATTATATAGATAAATAAAATACTAGTATAGAGAGTCGATTTTTTTAACTTGTGATGTTGAGATTAACATAATAAAAAACGTGTAGATATTTCATTTTAAGTTTTAAACCTATATAAATGTATTACATTATACCCTTTTTGTATTTTGCAGTGAACATAACAAAAGAAAAAGACAAATAATAAACATTGGCACATTATAATAATTTGTAAGTTATTTTTTGTACCATAAAATAAATTCTTCAGAGTAATTATTTACACTAAGAAATGTTATTTATCATATATAATTTACAAGCATATTTACACATTACTGGAATACACAATGTTACATTTAGATGGTTTTGCCATTAAAAAAATAATCTCTGTGTATCAGATGACAGTCATAGGTTACAAATTCGTCACACATAAATAATATAAGCATATTTTAAGCCTGTTAGGGTGTTTAGTAACTAGATCAAATGAAGATAAAGAAAAGCTGAAAACTATCTCATCAATTCAATTGATAAATATAACTTCAATATAATTTTGACGTGACGAATAAGTGGGGATGAATAATATTTAAGCTTGGTGTATACACACTTACAAATCAAAATACAGATACGGCTCCGTCATCTGCGAATGCATGACAAATTTTTTTAGATAAATTCATTGGAAACATGTTATATTGATAAAGGTATATTCAGTAAAAAAATAGCCAACTGTATAAAGTTACACTCCAAATACAACCACATCTTAATAATGTGATATTAAAATGAAGGATATCTTGAATTTGCAACCTACTGTTGCCATCAAATCATTTGTTATTTACAATTAAACAGTATTAATATATTACTTGATATAGAACATTACTAGAAACGAAATTAGAAATAAGTAATAGTACAAAGTTTAGTTTACTAATACTAATATGGTAACATATTCAAGTTATTAATTTAAATGATAAGGCACTTGTCAATATTCAGGTGAACTGTCTCCAAAACATTTCATATCATCATTGATAATTATTGATTTTTTCGTATGTTTGTCTTCAACATCAAAACTTATTAAATCATCACTGAAGTTGTTCTGTTTCTGAAAAATAATATTATACATGTATTATTGAATAAAAAATTTAATATTGAAAACTAAAGAATGGAGCTATGGGGGGTTGATAGGGTATAAATGTTAATAGGGTACTGTTTGAATAAAGAATTAATCATATTATATTAAGTTTAAAAATAAGTATATTTGTCTTTGTGAACACATACATGAATATGTAGAACAGATTTAAGTATTTAGTTATGACAGCAAAAGCATGAAAGCAAGATTAATTCTGTAGAACTGAGAGTTATGAGAAATATGCCTGTGATATAAGTTTTGTTGAGAAATAGTTTTATTAGGGAGAAGTATGGACTTAACAATGTTGTAACTAATATTGAAAGGATATTGCTATGTAAGATGTGATGAGGTGTTGCTACATAATTTATTTACTGTAGTATCTATATTGTGAGTATACAGGTGGCATGATTGTACATTAGTAAGTTTATTTGAACATATACTACATGGCTTATTAAAAATGCGAACTTGGTGTTCTAATGGAGACTAACTTCACACTGGAGTCAAATCTAAGTTATGAGGAGACATACACAAATGGAAGAGTGGCTAGTGTTAACAGAAATATTACAAATTATGTGATAATAACACTAGTTTAAGCATTGAAGCTATGTTTGTGTTCACAGTTTTATACAGTTTTAATGAGAGTAGATGTTAGTGGGTGTCTTATTAGAAGATAATTAGACATTAGAAGATAATATAAGCAAAAGAGCTCTATTTGAATTGGAGTTTCTTTTTACTACTGATTCTGCCTATCTTAAAAATAAACAGGTTTGTTATATGTGGTTATTAGTTACTTACACTAGTTGAAGGTGTTTCATTATTGTGTTTTAATGCTGCAGCATAATTCAATACTGGCTTAGTTGTACTTCTAGGCATTAATACAGGACTTGGACTTCTATCTATTATATCATTTTCAAATTGGTTAGGATTCTCAATTTCTGTCAAATGATTGCTATTCATTAAAATATTAGGAACATTCAATATATCTGTATCTGGAGGTGTTTGTAATGCTTCAATACAGGCTTCAGCCATTTCTACTTGATTTACTTTAAATTTCTCTCTTGTTAGTTTATCATAAGCACTTTGTAAATCTGAAGCTTGTTTTTCTGCCAAAATGGCACTCATTTGCTTTATTTCTGCTTCTAGCTCTCGGATTGTACATTCATTTTTTGCTGCAATTTTAGCTTCTTTCTTAAGTCTGACATCAACAGCTTCCTGAATACGCAATATTGCATCGGCAGAAGCATTACATTGCACATTACTGTCTTTTACAATTTTATTAAAAACACACTGTGGTGTTAACCTATGGGCCTTTTTATATCCAGTTTGTTTTTCACCCAGATTTGCAGTTACATCTTCAATGTATTCATACATATCATAACAATTAATCTTTCCAAATCTATACGTAAACATATGAGTTGATCCGGAAGATGAACATTTATTAGATAAATTACAAGTTACAAATGTTTTCTTTCCATGATATTTATCAAAATATTTTTGCAAACCTTTTGATATTAATTTATCCCTAAATGTAGGCTTGATATTAGTGTTCTTTCTATATTTATACCAGCCAACGACTTCACTAGCTGTGTTAGAGAGCAAGCCTGCGAGGACATCTTCCTTTATTCTGCCTGTAGGTAAGTAAAATAAGGAGACAGTGGGCAATGGTAATACAGTTCTTATCACTATCTGTGTATCCAGTCTAGCATTATCACTGTGCGAGTCTGATATGTGGTTAGTAATTTCTGATGATATATCTCCTATGAGAAATCCCTCCTGAAAATATATTGGAATGAATTCATATGTAAAATTTCATAACTATTGTGAAATGAGAACCTCTTTAAATTATTACCTGACTATTTACGGAATTTATACATTCGTACAGCAAGAACGAAAGCGCGGTTCCACTTAGTGACACCTTTTCTGTGTAAGCCATTACAACTTGTATTTATATAACTACAATATACACCTAATTCTGAGACGTAATTTATTAACAATTAGTAATTACTAAATTGAAAACTTTGTAATTAGAAAATTGTAAAAATAACAACGAAACAAGTTTCATTTTATTTTTCACAGAGTCATTAAAATTTTGGGTTGTCAGATACTCACAGGATAGGTTAGGTTTTACTTTTTTTTTTTTTTTTTTTCCATATTCGTCCATCTCCTTTTCAGTGATGGAACAGGCAAAGATCCTTAGACCGTACAGCCTAGTCTACTTTTAAACTTCTTCATATTTGAACGAGTGATGAGGCCAAAGGCCAATTCTTATGTATATTTATTTATTATGTTTTCATTCGTGTTCAAAATTTAAGTCTTATCCGTAGTCCATATCCTTGTATCAATTATTTAAAGTTTCATCGATATCGAGGTAACGTATAAATATATAGGTATATATGTTTCAAAATTAGTTAGCATGTCTTGGATGTCGCGCGGGATTTTTTCCGGTTTCTTGTAAATGTTCAGTAAATTATCAATAAAGACCAAGCGTTGAATATTATAAGCAGAACATTCGAAAAATATGTGATTTAGGGTCTGACTGCTGTTATTGCACTCTTGACATGCATTTGAATCAATTATTTTCATTCGGCACAAATGACTATTGAATCTAGCGTGACCAAAACGAAGTCGTATAAGGAGTGTGTAAAATTTCCGGTTTTTATAAACTCTAGATTTAGTGAACCAGGGTGAGGAATGAATATTTTTGTTAATGGAGTAAAACCAATTACCCTTGGTCTTTAGCGAAAGTTGCCACTGTTCAATCCATTTTTGACGAAAACTCTTGTAAACTATAGAAAGAATGTCGGAATAAGGTATGGCAACATCCTTGACAACGCCAATGTCATTGTTGGTGATAGTTCTTGCCAGGAAATCTGCGTTTTCATTACCGAAAACACCAATATGTGATGGTGTCCATAATAAAATAATATCATAACACTCCAATGAGAGCTCATATAATATTTGCTTAATGCTATCTATGATATAATTAGTTTTATAATGTAGTTTGTTACTTTGAAGAGCAGTTAAAACACTCATACTGTCTGTGACAATTAACCATTTTTTGCAATTGCCCCTATCATCTTTTATATAACAAAGTGCATTTAAAATAGCCAAAGATTCTGCTGAAAAAATACTAAATTCTTTATGTATTCTAGTTCCATGACCGGTTCTGATACTTGGTAAGTATAGAGCAAAGGATGTTCTCGATTCGTTTTTAGAACCGTCTGTAAATATGGATTGATGAGTTGAAAATGTAGACAACTTGTTATAAACTTCTTGTTTGGTCCTTAACTCAGAGTCAATTACAATATTAATATTTGGAAATTTACTTTCAAATGGTCCATGGTAACAATTCCAAAATCTATTGCTTTTGTGAATTTTGTATTGCTGATCAATATTGATTGAGTCAGAGAAATCATGAAGTATATAGGGAACTGTTTTAGAATTAGAAAGGGGAAATAAAGAAGTAATATGTTTGAGCTTTTGTAAGAGTGGGTCTTCAGAAAAGGATAATAATTTTAGGATGAATCTTTGTTTTAAGTACCAGAATCTCAGGTTTAATGGTGGTATACAGCACTCTACTTGTAAGGAATTTATAGGGGTTGTTTTCATTGCACCAGTTATGTATCTTAAATTATTATTCTGAAGTACTTCAAGTTTATGAAGCTTGTTTTGGTCAGAACCAAAACATAGATAGCCATATTCAAAGTGGCTGCGAATCAAGGATTTGTACAGCATTAAAAGGATCTTAGGATCACATTTATATAGAGCTTTGATAATATTAAATGCTTTGGAAGCTTTACCTAGTAAATAATCAACATATTTGTTCCAAGACAAATTGCTACAAAAAATAACACCTAAAAATTTAACTTCAGCAGTAATAGGTAGTTGTGAATTATTATATAATATTTTAATGTTTTTGTATGATTTATTAGTTTTAGAAAATATTACTACTTTAGATTTGTCAGGGCTTACATCTAAATTGAGGTATTTAAAGTAATCTGTTAATCTTAACAATGCATTACTTATTATTTCTGTAACTTTATTAATGTCTGGGCCTGAAAAGTATATAACAAGGTCATCTGCAAATTGAAGATTCCTGACATGTGGTCCTAAAATTAAATTAAGTTTGTGTATGTAGAGGATAAAGAGTAATGGACTAAGTATTCCACCTTGACACACACCTTTATAAGAAAGACGAGGTCCTATTAACTGCTTGTTAACTTTAACAAAAACTTCTCTACCATTTAAAAAGTTATAGACCCAGTTTATAATTTTTCCAGGTATACCAATAGAAACAAGTTCCAGAGTGAGAATGTGATGATTGACATTATTGAATGCACCGATAATATCAAAGAATACCCCAATCAAAACTTCATTGCATTTAAGTGCTTTAAATATATCAATATGAAGATGAGTAACACTCTCAGAGGCAGATTTACCTCTACGAAAACCAAACTGATTTGCTGGTAATAAACAATTACTCTCTATGTAGAATTCTAGTCTTTGTTTTAATAATTGCTCAAATATTTTTCCCATGCAGGAGGTCAGAGTTATAGGTCTATAGGAATCTATATCATTTGCATTTTTGTTTGGTTTTAAAATTGGAATAATACAATCTTTTTTCCAATCGGAAGGAATAAGTGAATCTTTCCACAGTGCATTATAAATACATAAAACAATATTTTTAGAGTTATAAGAGAGGTTTTTTAATAATTTATATGCTATGCCATCGAGACCAAATGCTGTATCTCTTCGGGTAGATATGGCTGCATTAAATTCATAGAAAGTGAAGGGTTTATTTAAATAATTTAATTTGTTACTATTTTCATTAATGTGTGATTTAAATTGGGTCTCGACAGTGTCAGGAGTATATTTTTTAAGAAAATTAGAAATCCAGTTATTATTATTTGAAATCTGACTATATACATAAGTTTTATTAAATTTTTTAACAGTATTCCAAATTTTGGAAATGGGTGTGGTGCGATTAAAATTTTCACAAAACTTATTCCAGCTAATTGATTGTTCTTTTTTAAGTATTAATTTTTTTTTGGCTTGTAACCTTTTAAAAGCAATATAATTTGCCTCTGATGGGTCGTTTTTAAAATTAACATATGCCTGTTTAGAGTTATCTACTGCAAGAGTACATTTTTGATTCCACCAAGGTAATGGAATCCTTTTATTTTTAAAAGGAATATCATTTGTAGAGCTTATGGGTTTTGATTTTGGTATACAACATTTGTCTATAGCTAAATTTAAAATATCAATTAATTTAGAATAACACTGCAGGGGTGAATTACTATAAGTGTAAAGTGTAAAATCTTGTAACAAACTATCTGTGGTCTTCTTATACACAGTCCAATCTATAAGATTGTAATTATGAAATTTGGGATAATCTAAGGATTCTGGTAATCTAGAGCAATTGTTATTAATTACTATTTTTGTTATTACAGGTAAATGGTAGCTACCTAAGGGATCATTATGTACTATCCAATGTGAAGCAAGAGATATGCAAGGGGATGCAATAGTAAGGTCAAGCGCATTACTCTGCCATCTGTGTGATCCTACTGTAGTCGGTGTACCATCATTTAAGAGGACCAAGTTGTTACCATCAATACATTCAAGAATGTCACGACCGCGAGCATTAATAGACGAGCAACCCCATGCTGTGTGATGAGCATTAAAATCACCAGCAACCAACATGGGCTCTGGAATACTATTAAGAAGATTACTGAATTTATTTTTGTTAAAACGTGGACTACAATTATTTGGGCTATAAAAACTAACAACTGACATTTCTGTGTTTTTATATTTTAATCGTACCGCAATATTCTGTAAGGAATCATCACTATATGTATCAATTTTACTGAATTCTATACTTTTATGAACTAAAATTGCAACGCCGTTGTGGTCATTGCCTGAGTCTAATCTAACAATGTTAAAGCCTTTAATATTTAATTTATAGTAGGCTTTTAGCCAGGTTTCTGATATCAGAGCAATATGAATATTGTTCTCCAATAGAAAATGTGTAAAGATTTGTTGATTACTTACTAAACTTTGTGCATTCCACTGGACTATTACTATATGGTCCATAAAGAAATAAAAAGATTAAAGAAAGAAAGATTAATCTGGATTTTTTTTATTCTGTAATGTCTCTAGGAGAACTTGTTTTATATTTTCTGTACATATTGTTTTGTCATTGGTTCTATTCAATGTTATAATTTTAACAATTGATTCTAATAGGGTATTTAAAATTTGGTCAGAATTAAGTAGGGATATAAACGAAGGTGAAGTTTTGGTACTGCCTAATTGAGGAAATGATTTCTCTCTAACAATATCAGCATAACTTTGTACTTTATTTTTATTCTCCTCTATTTTCTTTTTCTTAATAGGACACTGTGATGAAATGGCTATATGATTACCATTGCAGTGACAACATTTGGCTTCGTTAATATTTGCCGAACAGTTTCTGAAATTATGATTATTTCCGCATACTGAGCATCTTTCAGCGTTCTTACAAAACTTAGCGATGTGACCATACCTTAAACATTTAAGACACTGCTTTACAGGAGGTATGTAAGGCCTCACCACAAAGCGCCAGCTATTCAGGTCGACGGTGTCAGGAAGTACAGGACAGGAAAATGTGATGGAGACGGTTTTAGTTGGCTGCATTGTAAAGGTGTTATCATCACCTTTAATACGCCTCATGAATCTGCGTACACAAACAATATTTTTTGAGCTGGTTATATTAGAGTATATTTGTTCGTTCGATAGATGCGTAGGAACATGCTGAACTACTCCAGTTACTTCCGTGGCTGAAGCTGGTATACTTGCCTTTAATTTAAATCCGTCTAGAAATTTTTTATTAACTAAGGCTGCATTAGCTAAACCGGGGCGTTCAAAAATGACGCCGATCTTAAATTTATTCATCCTTAATAATTGCTTAACTCCTTTATTATATTTTTTCAAATTAGTAGCTAAGGACATCATATCCCTATCACCGATTGGCTTATTACTATCTGTACTCTCCATAAATACAATGTATTCAAAGTTTCCACCATCCTCAGGATAGTACCGAACATAATCTGGTA